TGCTAATAAAGCAGAGTTGTATGAATGAAACAAACAAAAATATTTGCACTAATTTTGTTAGTTATGCCGTAGCCATCCATTTTGGGCTGTTTACTTTTCCTTCAGGGTTTTCCCTCTTGGTCTTTGGGCTGTCACTGTTGAAGATCTGCAGACTCAGATGCAGGCTATTCCAAGGGACTCTTTTCTCTAGCATAAGATCCAGACTTTAAAGCAAAGCTTGTGGCAACAAGATTGCTTTTGTTAGGAACTCCTGAAAGTAGTGAAAAGTAGCCACAGAGCAGTCTCCAGAGTCTATACAGTGGTACCTTGGTTTACGAACTTAATCCGTTCCAGAAGTCCGTTCTTAAACCGAGGTGCGCTTTCCCTAATGAGGCCTCCCACCGCCGGTGCCCTTCTACCGTTCAGATTCTGTTCTTAGACCAAGGTAAAGTTCACAAACCGGGACACTACTTCCGGTTTTGTGGAGTTCGTAAACCAAATCGTTCGTAAACAGGACTGTTCTTAAACCGAGGTGCCACTGTATAAGCTAATTGTGGGCTACCTTGTCCTTTGCTTTTCAAAGGGGCAGGAAATCGAAACTTCATAGAATCATGGAATCATAGAGTTGGAAGAGACCACAAGGGCCATCGAGTCCAACCCCCTGCCAAGCAGGAAACTTCTTGCAACTAAAATTGGTCCGCTTGGCAACAACTGTGAATGGCTCAAAATCCCCCTTTTATATTATTTATTAAATTTATATCCTGCCGTTCCTCCCAAAGGAATCCAGGACAACAAACAACAGAGCAGCGAAACAATGCAATTAAAAAACAAAGGGTTGTGTCCAGCTAAGTTCGACTCAAGAGTAGTTGCAGTGGAATTAATGGGCCTAATTTAATCATGCCCATTTTCGTTAGGTTTACTCTGAGCGGAAATTAGTTTGATAGGACTGGGTGCCATTTAAAACCATTTAAAATCTCATATCCCCACAGTTTAATAGTTAACTAATAATTAGTATGAAGGTGGTCTTTGCAGTCCTGTTAGACATGGTTACTTGAAACTGTTTAGCTGACTTCTTAACTGAGCTGATTTAGGAGGAAAAACTGCTTATCACTGCACAGCAGCCATAACCTGGGCAGAATCTTATTAACGCAGAATGCTTGCATAGTCTAGGAATGCTGATTTGGCCGAAAAGGCTTTCCAAGAAATTTCTGAATGGGTTTGACTTGGCATTCCTAGAAGAACAGTACTAAGCTGTCTCAATGTGATTGGAGGTTTTTTGTTTTTTTTGCTGCTAAACTTTTGTCCCCCTTGTCCTTCACCTGCAGGAGCTTCCTTCAGCTGGGCGCTGGTCTGAGCGTAGGCCTCAGCGGGCTGGCTGCTGGCTTCGCCATCGGCATTGTGGGTGACGCAGGCGTACGGGGGACGGCACAACAGCCTAGGTTATTTGTGGGCATGATCCTGATCTTGATCTTTGCTGAAGTCTTGGGTCTCTATGGCCTCATTGTTGCCCTTATCCTTTCCACAAAGTAAAATAAAAAATCAGAGTATGATGTGTTTAAAAAAAAAAGTTGAAAAAACAAACAAAACTAATCTCCAGAATGAAAATGGTCTCTCCACAATGTGTACAGTTGTCATCAGTTTGGTAGTTGATCTCTTGTAAATGCGCAATGTATGTTAGTGACTCGTCTGTCTTGTGTGTACTTCAATATTAAACAGAATGAGCTGCCTCAAGCCCTCTAGGCAAGGCTTGGGGAAGCTCATGTGCAATTTTCCATCCATTCTGCCATTAGAGTACTTTATGTATAAATATGAACTAGAAATGGTAACTTTTTTCTCTTCACTGGATGTTTTATTTATAAGACTTGACATGTTCATACATATGGAGCAAGAGTTTTCAATTTCCCATGCTTATATATATTAATCTCATATATAGGTAGATTAATACACTGTGGGGTTAATTGTAAGTGCAGAGAAATCCTTGGATGTAATTTGAATCTCAAAAGATTGCTGTTGTGTCCTGGTATTGGAGTGTGAGACTGTTTGTGTTTATACAAATAACAGCAAAATGTCAGACACTCCTGTGTTCCCAGTAGTAAAAATAAAAATAAAAAATCTGTATGCTCCGGCATCAAAGTTGTGCACCCAGTGTTGGGTTTCGCAGTTATACGTTTCCAGATAATAAAATTTCCTCCACTACATCATTGTAAAGAGGTGTGTCTTTGTGTGGTTTGTCTGAAATGCAGGCTTTTGAAACACTGACTCCACCTAACCCTCTGTGCGTAAATGCAAGGACACCTTAAAAACCGCCTGGAGGTCAATAAACTAGTCTTGATTTCCCATTGGCACCCTAGTTCCTTGTGCATATTTTGGGGGAGTATGGCTGTACTTGTTCCTGTTTGCTTTTTGGTGCCAGGCATAACCCGCTATGGGTCTCTTCTCTGCACAGCAGTTGGCACATGGGCAGCAGCTTGTTCAAAGGCATGTCTGTGGCATGCATAAGCAGGACTCCACCCAATTGGACTCTGGAAAAACAGGCTTCCTGATCAGATGAAGCCCTGCCCTCTATTCCTCACTGTCATATATGAGTTTCAGGACTGTCTTGACTACAAAATATCAAAAAACTTTGGACTTGGGTCCAGTGGTTGAAAATTCCCAGGCGCCATACATTTTACTACTGGTGTGCGTCTAGTTGCAACCACATGGGGATTTCTGGGCACCAGGTTGGCCAGGTTAAACCCCCATAGTTATTTCCAATTCCCCTGTGTGTGTTGTAAGAGCAGATTACAGTCAAGCAATGTAGTTCAGATTGTAGCATTGGAAAGGGACCCTGAGGATCATCTAGTCCAACCCCCTGGCAAATAGACAGGTTTCGGTTGCCACAACAGAATAAGTTTAAGGTGCCATTTGGCACCTAGCTTTTATCTCTGACTTTCTAACAGTGCTTGGATGCAAACAGCAGTAAAGCTCCAAGACACTTTGGTTAGCACAGTGAGATGTGCTTTTGTTTCTCAAGGAGCCAACAGAAATACCATCACAAATGGCTTTGCATTTACTTCTGAAAAAAGCTGTTTTGTTTAAAGTGGGGGGAGGGGGGAGAGAATGTACTGTTTTTCAAGAAAACCTAGTACTGAAGCCAGTGTGGTTTCAGATGCATGGGATCCTTCTCATGGCATACATTAGCTTTGGGGAGCCTGTCCCCCCCAGATACTGAACAAGAATTTTCATCAGCCTCAGCAAGCACAGCCAATAGTAAGGCATGATAGGAGTTGCAGCACCACAGTTCTCTTTACAGCTAATGTACGCCACGTGCACACCTCCAGGTTTTCTTGTGTGCTTCTTATGGAAACCGCAGGCTGGCTGTGGCTGATATGTAGCTGAAATCAAACAGGCAGTTCCTCAGCCCTGCCATGCTTCATCTTTCCAACTTCCACCCTGTACTCATGGAGCAAATGTTCTAAAAACCAGAGCCATGATTATCAGGACTCTTGATTTGGGCATATTATAACTTCAACCAATAGCTAATGAAAGTCTGCACTTCATAATTTCCCCAGAGCTGGATTGTCTAGCTCTGGGAATATGAGCTACAGTTGTGCAGTAACAGCTCTTTCATGTATGGGCATTTATGAAGGGAAAAAGTTTCCTCCAGATATTTGCATAGTCTGAAGACAGGTTCATACTGCCCACATTTCATTGAATGTAACATAATTTAACCTGTACATGGAAGATTTCATCACCATAATTATGAAACAAGTATGGTAGCCAACAATCTAGTTTTCTTGTTTGAAGTAGATTCAAAGACGTGACCATATAACTTTTGGAAATGAAGACTTAATCGCAGCCAGTTGCTTAGAAAGGTGTCCAGTGCTGGCTTTCAAAGTATATAGCTACTGAATTGCTTCTTAAAATCTCTCTCTACCTAAACTACATCACAGGGTTGTGATGATGATAATATGGAGATGGGGAGAGCCATGCACACCACTTTGAGCTCCTTGGAGGACTGGCAGGGTAAAAATAGAGATATAACCTAAGGTCACCCAGTGAGTGACATGGCTGAGTGAAGATTTGAACATGGGTCTCCTTGTGCCTACGCTGATAGTTTAGACCAGTGGTCCCCAATTAGCAAAGTACTGAGGAACCCGTTTTTAAAAAAGCAAAGCCATGGACCGCCCCCCCCAACTTTGAAAAAAAAAAAGATATTTGTTTTTGTTACGTGAATGGTGCCACGAACCCCCTGGGTGGGTTACATAGGACCAATTGAGAACCTCTGCTCTAGACTGCTATATACCATATCTTGTTGACTGTGAAAGTAGATAATTTCAAAAGAGACAAGAGATTGCAATCCTGTGCATGGAAATTTAGGAGCTGGCTCAGCTGAATTGAATGCTTCAGAGTAAATGTGGCAGCTTTTCCTTCCCAAATGTGAGCGTTGTTGCTGTTAAGCATCCATTCACCAACAGGCCCCAAGATGGTTTACAACAATTTAAAATTCAGAACTGAAAACAGGTGGGCTCTGAAAAACACACATCTTAGATGTCAAAGGTGAGGGTAAAAAGGTGCATCTCCAGCATTCCCCAAAAGCTGTATAGTGAAAAAGCCAGGCACACCTCTATGGGTGGGAAGTCCACAATTTAGGGTCTGCCCCAGAGAATTCTCTCTCCTGGGCCGCCGCCACCCAAACTTCTGAGTGTGGTGTGGAACTACAGAGAGGGTCTGCTCTACTGATCTTAACACTCAGGAAGGTCTATAGGGAAGCAGACACTTTCAGATATTTGGGGCCTAAGTTGTAGGTGGGTGGAGATACCAAAGTGACGGGAGCATGGTGTGCATAGTCCTTTACTACTAGTCTCTTTAAATGAGCAGCGTAATTTAAAAGGACAACCTGCAAAGAAATGTACAAAGCATGCACCCTTTTTTCCACAAATATGTGCATGGCAACTGGCGGGGGTGGGGGGGGTGGTCCTATGTATTTTAAAAAGAAAAAGCGAACGATCCACCTATGCACCATTACCCAAGTCTAAATGTTTTGAGATTCTGATGTATTGTTTGAGTGCAGAGGAGGCAAAACCACATAAGGGACCATGTGCAGAAATACAGAGTAGTAAAACACAGGAGCTCGGAATAAGCCTGGGTATTTTTTTCTTGAGAGCCGTGTTGGTGCATCCTAGTAAGGATGAAGTAGGTTGAGGCATCCCTGCAATTACATCAGCAGACAGTCTCTAGTGATTCGGGCCATTGAGAACTTCTTCGTGACTCATTCAGCCCTCCTCAGACCCTTTACGAGCTTCACAAATTGGATTGGAGAGCATCGCCCCCCACCTTGCCAAGGCAATACTTTTATGGGTCTCCTTGCAGTGGTGGTGGGTGTGGGGGGACGTGAAATGCCAGCGTTTGCAGCATCTAATTAAGGAAAAAATGGTTTGGGTCTGCAGATAAGCTCTGGTGAAATGGAACGGATCGCCTTGTTCTGATTTTGCATTGAAGCTCTGCGCTGCAGAGTGAGTCAGCCCTGCAGAGGAACAGAGAAGGGGGAGGGAGAAGCTGACAAAAGGGAGAGGGAGCAGCAGCAGCAGTAGTGATGGATAATATCCATTAATAGGCCACCTCGGTCCCTGGAAGAGGCCTTAAGTCAAATGCTGATTGCGTAGGTAAAATCTCTTTCCGTTGACTGTGCTTCATCTTTTAGCTCTCCCCCCCTCAAAAAAAAAAAGCCCTGGGGAGGAAAAAGCAAGCCTGTACTGACATAGGTTCCTAGCGAAGATTTAATTAGAAGTGTAGATAATTACAGGTCCTGTCAATTCCTTTTTCTGAAAGAAGGATCACATAGTACAGATAGCTGGGGAGGGGGGCTTAAGATGTTGCTGGACTCCCAATGCTATCAATCCCAGCCAGCATTGTCCATGGTCATGTTCACACCATTAATATAAAGCACTATCACCATGGTTTCCCACAAAAAGATCTATGAGCAGTAGGAATTAAAGGAACTTAAGGATGCTGAGCTGCCTATTCCCTCCACAGAACTACAGTTCCCAGTGTGGTTTAATAATCCCACTTTGAAAGGAGCTCTGGCAGTTGTATCTCTGCATGGGGAACAGGGGTCTCCTAACAACTCTCTGCACCCTTCGCAAACTACAGCTCCCAGGATTCTTTGGGGAGAAGCCATGACCGTTTAACACGGTATGATAGGTGCTTTAAATGTATGGCGTGCCAATTATAGAGATCTTGGGAGTCATAGTACAGTAACGAGAGCCAGCGGTTCCCCAAACAACTATCTGAATGGAACACTAAAGTGTATTTTCTGTGGAATGGCTGTAGCTGTTGTGACCTACATGTGTAGCAACCTGGTTGTAAGCTTTATTTATTGAGCCTGCCAAAAAAAATCTTCTGAAAATACTGGATTCCTTTTCAAAGAAAGGTTGGATTTATTGAGGGGAGAGAGAGAGTAGTAACACATGGCAGCAAAGTGCATTGCTCTCTGCATGCAGATGATCCTAGATTCAGTTTCTTGACATCTTCAGGTAGTGGGAGAGACCTCAATCTGAACCCCTGTGGAGCAGCTGCCCATCAGTGTAGACAAGGGATCACCAAGCTTTTGGAACATTGACACTGTTCCCTTCTCTCTCCGATCCTCCAGATTGCACTCCCCACCCCATCTGTTTCTGGAGAAACAGATCCTTCTGGATCCTCATAATCTTAACATCAAAACCACCAGCACCTGGCTGTATCCACAGAGGGGATCCATGATTTGTTGCTGGTCTTGTTGTTGTGTAAAAACCATGAGGATCCATGGCTTGGATCAAGGTTTTTGTGTGGATGACAAGCTCCAGACCTGTGATTTTTTACTGTGTTGTCTACAGCGTACACTTTATTTTTAGTTGCTGGGTGTTTTGAGACCTTGTGTAAAAAATCACTCAAATTCAGTACTCTTAATTCCTTTGAACCTCCTGATCAGTGGTTACCAAACTTTTTACCTTGTGGATCATTTTAAAGTTGCCGGCAGACTCCTTTTTCTGTCTTTTGTAGCAACTGCAGTGTGCTGTGTTAGATGCTGTGTGGTTTTTAATTGTATTTTTATTGCTTCTTTTATTTCTTACATTCTCTCTTATTGTATTACAATTTGCATTCCATGGAACTCAGTGAAATACAAAATAGGGAATAAAATAAACACTAAAATCACAACTAAAAACTTAATGACATGCCACGGACCACCTGAATGAAATTCAAGGACCATCACAGTTTGGGAACCCTTGCCCAAGAAACATTATTGTTTATTTCTATTTTATTTATTGCATTTAGATCTTACTTTTTCCTCCAAGGAACTCAAGGTGGTTTATGTGGCCCTCCCTCTCCTCATTTAAGCCCTGCAACAACCCTGCAAGGTAGATTATGCTGAGAGGCAGCGACTAGCCTAAGGTCACCCAGTGAGCTTCATGGCCAAGTGAAGATAAGCTCTTCCAAGACCTAGTCCAACACTCTAACCACTCCACCACAGTGCTACCAGACCAAGCACTAGCAAAATCCATCCATTTTCTGAACAGACACCACACACAGTCTCTTGCTTCTGCTCTCTGTCCTGTCCTGTGTTTTGTTTTCTGCATCTGATCTGGTTTCCTGTGGATCAAAAGAGTAGCTAACTCAGGCTCCTAAATTTTCCCCCCTGGAAGCTGATGCTCCAAGAGCAATCTAATCTACAGAGAGGCCTGAGAAAAGGACAGAGGCGCAAAACGCACACCAACTAAACCCTACGTCTAGATCATGTGCCTGTTGCCAAGTGATACAACTGGTGCTTCGCAGCTTGAATTCAGCGCAAAGGATTGTTTTACATGGCCTCCTGGTCAGCCCTTTGCCCTCTGCTCTCCTAGCTGGGCCAGGACTGAGGAAGGCAGGCATAATAGCGGATTGCCGTGGCAGATCAGATCAAAGTCTTATCTCATTGGTGGGGAAACTCAAACTTTGGGGTGTCAAATGTGGCCCTCAGGGCCTCTGTATCTGGCCCTTGGAACTCTCTTTTGGCAACAATCCTCCCACACCACACCTCTCATTGACTTTGATTTGTACCCTGAGTGTCTTTGCCTGGCCGGAATGTGTCCTTGGGCACTGATAATATCTCCTGCTTGTCTGAATGGAGAAGGGTTTGCAAGTGTTCAACCTACTGTACAAAGGGGAAATCTGCATCCTTTGCTCTGCTCACTTTTGCATTTGGCCCTACCCACCACTATCATGTGGCCCTCAAAAGGTTGACCAGAAAGGAAAGCAGCCCTTGGACCCTAATCTAGCTTTCTACCTCATAAGCAAGCCATACAGGTGATGGCTATCCCCAGTTGCTTCACCCTGGCACCTAGCATTCAGAGGTAAACTGCTGCTGTCCATGGCAGTTTCATTTTAACTACAATGACTATGGAGTCGTTCATCCCCAGTGCACATGAAGCGTGCGTTCCAACCAAATATGGGTCAAGTGTTGATCCATTAGACTGAACCCAGTCGGAAGGTGTTTTATGCATGAACAACACTACCTTGTGAAGATTGAACCAATACCCCTCCTTGTGTGGAGGTGCCCTACAGTCATGCCTCAGTACAGTACTACCAATGGAGCACCGTCTCACTGATTTACAGGGACAGAGTCTGCATCAGCGGTAAAGTGGCATCTCACCATCATTACCTAGTATCATAGCTGTGTACACACCATACATTCAAAGCACATTCAAGCACCCCACTCCAAGGAATTCTGGGAAGTGTAGTTCACCCACGACAAAGCTGTGATTCCCAGCACCCTTAGCAAACTACAGTTCCCAGGATTATTTGGGGAAAGGCTTTAAATGTATGGTGTGGATGTGACACATCATGGTAGAACTCAGACATCTGTTTGAAGGGGCCCCTCAGCCTCATTTTTATTCTGTTGGCTAGAAGGAGAGATGGGCTTTCAGAAAGAGAACTAAAAGGAGGTGGCCCTCCCCACTTCTGTCTCTGGCCTTAACAGCACCCTTAAGGAACTACAGTTCCCAGGATTCTTTATAAAGTGAAAAGAGAAGTGTTAAAGTAGATTTCAAGAGCACTTTGTGCAAATATGAACAAGCTCTATTCTACCAAGTCTTTGCATTGCAGGGGTTGGGCTACATAACCTTTGGGGGTCCCTTTCAACTCTACAGGTCTGTGTGGCAAAACCAGGCACTGGGTCATAAAGCAAAATCTGGCTGAAGAGCCTTTAGGTGTGTAATCATTATTCAGCGTCTGCATCTTAGCAGGAACAGTGGTGGCAAGGAGGAAGAGTACTTGTTTTGCGGTGCCTTCCAGCATGAGTGACTCAGCCCTTAGCTCATGTCCTCCCTGCCTTGCCACTAAGATGTCAGAAGCCTTTATTAATATGCCAGACCTGTTGTCAGGAAACCTTTCAGCAGGGGATAAGAAACACCGCTCAGCTACCAACAACACAGACGGATGACTGGTTTTCACAGCCACCTCAGATTTCCATCACATTGATGCAGTTCTGCAACTATGTCTTCCTGCATGCATCATTATATCCTACATTCGTGTTGAATATATATATCCCCGTGCACACGCACACACAATGCCCTGAAATCTGCAATAGATGAGCATTGAATTTGATGGTATCAGCCAGAAGATCCTTGACACTGAAATAGGCACATGGTCCTGAAGATTTGAGCAAGGTGTTACTAAAGTTAAATGTATTCTGTGAATGCTGGCATCCCCTCCAAAATCCACATTTAACGCCCGGTTTTTGCACCACTGAATTAATTATTAGTACTGCAGGCTTCAAGAATCTTCTTCAGCTTGAAGGCCACATTCCTTTCTAGGCAGCCTCCTGAGGACCACATGCCAGTAGTGGGTGGGACCATGAGCAAAAGTAGGTAGAGCAACAAAAGTTAATTTATGCACCCACATCCTCTCTCGCCTCCTTCCAAGCAATAAAGAGGCATTAGCAGAATTCCAGCTACATCAAAGCAAGGCTGGGGGATGGGGTATTGACCTGGTGAGAGGGGTGTGTGACTGAGGAATCAGAATTGTAGTGTCGGAAAGGACCACAAGGATCATCTAGTCCATCTTTCACTCAACATGGGGCTCGAGCCCACAAGCCTGAAATTAAGTGTCTCATGCTCTACCGACTGGTGGTATAGCTTCACCCATATCCTAAAATAATAAGAATAATATATGTGAAGTACTACTTTGAGCACTTGAAAGATAAATGCTGCTTCATTATTATTACCTTACCTCTGCCTCATTTCCATCTCTCGCACACACATATTCATGGATCTTGTGTACTAACATGCAGTATCTCTACAAGAGCAATGATGGTGAGGGGGCAGGGCAGAGAAGAACTGGTGTTTCCCCCCCCCCTACAGTCGTTCTTGTCCAATAAGCAAGCAGACATGTGGCTGGATCCTGGTCACTGGTTGCGCTTTACCTCAGCACCATTGTCACTCTTCAGAAAAAAAGGAAACTGCCTGCAGTATGAAAATATTGTCTGTCATGCCCGTTTCTTAGCTGCCCTTTGGCATGTTCTTGCTGCCTCAGGGTTCCCAGAACAAGAAAGAATAGGCGGCTAGAAAGCAAAACAGTCACAGCAAATGTACAAAGGTCCTGGAGGCTGGCACATTAGGGCAAATGGGGCACTGCCCCACCGACCTCAGTCTGCCCAGCAGGCATCTTAACTGCAGTCAGATTTTATAGTTTAACCGATATTTTTACATTTTTTAAAAAATGTATTTCTTGTACACCTTTTGGAGTAGATTGTAGTTAAGCGGTACAGAATGAGTGAAAACAAATACAGTAACAACAACTACAACAACAACAACAAATTGTTCAAATAAATAAAAGTAAGATAAAATGTTTAAATAAATAAAAGTAAATAAAGCAATAAATTGCTTAAATAAAACATCTAAATCAAGTAAACAAACAAACAAATAAAGACATACAAACATATGTATATCTACCACCTAATTCCCCGTCTCCATAGAATTGCGTGCTCAGCCATTCCTAGTCATCTGTTACTCTGACCATCTCAAGATGGAGGTAAGGGTTGCTGCCGGCACTGACCCCTTCCTTTCCCTTCCCATCATGGCGGCTCGTCTATGCTGCTCACGTGCCCGTAGGGAGCCCATTCCCCCCCCCACAGTCTTTCCTATCAGCTGACGAGGAAAGACTTGTCACGTGAGCGGGATCCGCTGCTGGAGAAGAGCGTTAAGGCAGAAGTTGGGCGACCCGAGAGACGGCTTATGTATTGGGAGCCGGTAAGGCCAATGCTCTGCGCTTCTTTCCGAGGGAAACCACGGGGGTTCAGCAGCTACTCGGAACACCTCTTCTTTCCCTGGAGCAGAAATGCTAGCCAATGAGAAGGTGCTTGTGTAAAGCACATGCTAATTTATGCAGATGTAGGCGGGACTGCTCTTTCTTGGGCAACTTGCCCCCCGCATTGAGTGACAGATGACATCACGCTCCTCAGTTTCCGAACTGATACACTGGGCTGAGCCTCTCCATCGCCCCTCCATTGACATGATGGGGGCCGATTTGCTGCCAGTCTTGAAAATAGAAGCTGAAGGCGGAGGAAGCTGACACGGTAGATTTCATTGCCATGCGTTGTAGTGATTTAGATATGATTTACAACCCTCCTTTAAACGTTAGAATATTCCGCAAGGCAGTATAAAGTCCACAGTGCAATAAATGGAGCACAACTAGAATTATTTTTTTTAAATATGTTTTAGAACAATAACTTTCAGGAGAATATACATCTATATAATTTATTTACATTGTTGTAATATAATTATATCACATATTCCTATATACCTTGTGTTTTTACAAACTTAGTAAGAGGCTTGAGATTTTAAGAAATAATATAAAATAGTGAAGCTGAACTTATTTGTTTACTACTTTTTCCTTTCCTTTTTTAGTTAGTTAGTAAAATTTGGTGCAATCAAAGATTTAAACTGGCACTTTGAATTACACCTAGAAACAGACTGGCAGACGCTGTGCATCTTGGTGATTAAAATATTTTTAGCACCAGTTGCTGGAAAATGCAGGAGGAGAGATTTCTGTTGTGCTCAGGTCCTGTTTGTGAGCTTCTTATGGGCATCTGGTTGGCTACTGTGAGAACAGGATGCCGGACTAAATGGGCCACTGTCCTGATTCAGCAGGACTCCTCTTATGAGCAGAGGCAGCAGTGAGGGTGGTTCTTACCCTATTCTTACTGCAGGGAAGACAATTACAGTTGATTTGCAAACGTATGTAGACGGTCGGCATCACGTTGGCTACCCCTGCCAAGCCTAATGTTTGGTGGTGGATTCTAGTAAAGGTGAAGGGACCCCTGACCATTAGGTCCAGTCGTGACCGACTCTGGGGTTGCGGCGCTCATCTCGCTTTATTGGCCGAGGGAGCCAGCATACAGCTTCCGGGTCATGTGGCCAGCATGACTAAACCGCTTCTGGAGAACCAGAGCAGCGCACGGAAACGCCGTTTACCTTCCAGCTGGAGCAGTACCTATTTATCTACTTGCACTTTGACATGCTTTCGAACTGCTAGGTTGGCAGGAGCAGGGACCGAGCAACGGGAGCTCACCCCATCGCGGGGATTCGAACCGCCGACCTTCTGATTGGCAAGTCATAGGCTCTGTGGTTTAACCCACAGCTGCCCATTAAAGAAGGAAATGCACTCTGCACATGCACAGTTGTGTTTTTATAGAAGTCTGCCTCTGACCTCTGTGATGTGCCTTATGCATTCTGTTCTTTTTTAAAGAATAGAATGCAAAATGTTGCAGCAAGAAAAGCAGAACTCTGTCAATCATATAAATAAAAATGCTGGAGCTTTTGTATGGTTTTGTTTCTGCCACAGAGAGGTCCAAGGGAGCATGCCATCTAATTGCTGAGTTTACCAGGCGTAGCACCTACACTTTCAAGAACATTTTTTAAAATTTAAGCCCCTTTTTTTGGCCCCACTTCCAGATCAATAAAATAAGAACAACAACCACCACCAAACCAATACAGGCCCTGCCCTCACATTTACAATCTAAAAGATAATGACAAAACATGGGGGAAAGGAGATGGAGAGAGGAGGGGGGAGAAGCAAACCCAGTCATTGGTTTTTAAGGTTAGTGTACATTTCTTATGGTGACAGGCAGGGAAGGAAACAATTCAGGTAACCAGACGGCTGCTTCTAGGTGCAAGCCAACGGCAATGCCTGATGTGGTCTTCCTTGCAGAACTGTTTTGTTATTTTCCCACCTATTCTCTCTGTGTTTTGCTTCCTTTCTCATTACCAGGCGCATTCCCTGAATGCTTGAATGATGCCACCTGACAAAGCCACCTCAGATGCTCCAGTCTTCCAGTTTACTAACTGCTGGATTTTGAAGAATCATGAACTGCAAAGGTGAGTGTCTGGGGGAGATGCTTTGCTTCTTGTTGTCTGCGATGGCCTTAAGGTGTGTAGCCATCGTTGAGAGTAATCACAGTACAGTGGTAACTCAGGTTAAGTACTTAATTCGTTCCGGAGGTCCGTTCTTAACCTGAAACTGTTCTTAACCTGAAGCACCACTTTAGCTAATAGGGCCTCCCGCTACTGCTGCGCCGCTGGAGCGCGATTTCTGTTCTCATCCTGAAGCAAAGTTCTTAACCTGAAGCACTATTTCTGGGTTGGCGGAGTCTGTAACCTGAAGCGTATGTAACCTGTAACCTGAGGTACCACTGTAAGTCCTGGATCCAGTGACCTGGCAAACTGAGGCTAATAAAAAATGGAATCAAAATCTTCTGAACTCTTCCTTGTGGCCATGCCAGAGTGGGAGGATGTGCATGTGAGCCTCTGTGGAGGCTAGGCTTGTTTTTTGTAACACTAAACTATGGTTTATACTTACATCTGAACCAGCCTTGTATGTTTGCATGTACCAGTGTTTGTTCCTGATCAAATATCTTTGTAAAGACAATGCTAATTTCTTCAACTCGCTAGCATTTGTAGACAAAGTTCCGGTGAAATCTGCTGCTTTTTATTAAATGTACTTGCAGATGCATGGCTTTCTCCCAGTTCTGGCTGTGTTCTAGGTTACTGGTTGCTTCTGTTTTCAGAGAGGACTTGTGGGTGAGAGAAGGAAAGATCCTAAACCCAGAGAAGCTGTTCTTTGATGAAAAGAAACCTGCAGACGTCCAGCTGGACTGCAAGGGAAGCATCCTGGCACCTGGCTTCATTGATGTGCAGATCAATGGTAAGGTATTGGAATAATTCTAGTACAAGAGAACACAGAGGATTAGGATGGTTTAAGCAGTGCAAAGATTGCTGCCTCATAGATTCTGCTTGTGTAGTCCACGCTTGAATCTTTTAAAAGCTTTGCCGTGGAAATGTGACTTGCAGAAAAAGCATAGAAGAGTTAGATAAGAGAGGCAAGTTGGAAGAAAACAAAATTATCCATAATTTTGTGGGTTCTAAGTTTTTACATATACATGAGCAACAAGTATCCCTTAGGAAGCCCACAGTCCTGACCATTGGCCAAACTAGCTAGGTTAGGGAGATGGGAGTCTGCATCAACTGCTTTATTTATTTATTTATGCATGCCCCGCCCATCTAGAGGGCACATGGTTAGGGATGGCTAACCTAGTTTTCATAGCATAGCCAGTGGCAACTTACCTGTTCTTTCCTTCACACAGGAGGCTTTGGAGTGGATTTCTCTCTGGCCACAGATGATGTGGGAGCAGGAATCTCACTGGTCGCCCAGAAAATATTGTCTCATGGAGTGACCTCTTTTTGCCCAACCCTGGTGTCCTCACCATCATCTGTATATCACAAGGTAAGCAAGAATAGGGCCCTATGAATACCCTTCCTTACTCATGAGATCTCATGTTGCTCTAAGCAGCTTTCACACGCCTTGAACAACCTGTGAGTCAAGCACAGCCAACTATGTGTAGCAGCCTACAGAAGTGTGATAAATCTCCCATCTTTGCTGTTTGCCTGCGATTCCAAAAACAGAGCAGCAGAGTGAGGCCCACAAGAGTCTGACATACCACAATACAAAGCTGTGTTGTACATGTTGTTTCACAAATTGTGAATGCCTGGATGAGCCTCTGATAGTTGAGCTGCCTTGTGTGCCTATTTCCATTTAGATGCACACACCCCAGGCTCTTGTCCATTTCTGTTCTTTCTCCTTAAAGCAGGCTCAGGTTTGTCAAGTTAATCCCAGTAGCATTAGAGTTCTCTGGGATCATGGGAGAAGTCTTGCCTGTCGCCTGGTACCCAAGGTGGCTGGTTCCCAATGAGACTGGTAGGGCAGAAGACAGGGAGCCCAACAGTAGGTGGCGCCAGAGCCAATGACAGGCAGAGCCAACTTATTCCAGTTTTGTCCCAATCCTCTTCCCTACTGAATTCTACAAGCACAACACTGACAGAAGGGAGAAGGCACAGCGGAAGCTGCCTTTTCCTGAGTCATGCCACTGATTTGTCAAGCTCATTGCTGTCTACATTAACTGGCAGCAAGTCTCCAGATCTGTAGCAGGGGACATTCCCAGACCTACCTGAGGAGGCAGGGGACAGAACCTAGGACCTCCTGCATGCCTCTGAGACAGACAGTTCCACCCCCTGAAATGGTAGCAACTGTTTAAAGTGGTATTGTAGTGCTTTAAATGTACGGTGTGAATGTGGTCTTTTTGTTCAGTCACTGAGCAACAGCTCCTCCTGGCTAAGGTGGAGTACCTCTTCAGCTCATGTGTCCTTGTCTGTCTGCAGCCTTCCCAAATGAGGAAGTAAATGGTTGGACTCTAAACTGAGATTGCTAGTTGTCAAACTTTAGACTGTCGATAAGGTGCTGTTTTCATGGACCTCTATATATATATATATATATATATATATATATATATGCTTCCTATCAAATAACAACGCATACCCACACTGGGAATACGGAACTTAATAGTTGTGGAGAAAAGAAAGAAAAACAGGGGTGACGGTTGTAGTTTTAGACGTTGCAAGAACGGCAGTCTGGTGTAGATGAAGTCAGCAGGCAGAGGCTTTCTGTTCATACATTTGCACCAGTGATTAACTGTGATGTTTCTGACGACTCCAGGTGCTGCCTCAGATCTGCGTCAAAAATGGAGGACTTCATGGAGCTGGTGTCCTAGGTGAGTGTTACGCCT